TCAACACAACAAAGACGCTGCTCGTTTATTTACAGGCAGCTGCCACTCAGCACCAGGCAGCGAAAACCCGCCCTGCAGCCCCCAAAAAGCCAAACAGATTACTGTAAAGAAAAGGAAAATCGAGTTAGGGACGAGAGTGAACGTAAAGAGAAATTACACTCTGTTGTTCCAGTATTAGTGCTATTGTTGTAGGCCTGTAGGGAGCGCTGTCAATGGTTTTTGAGGCACAATGGCAGTTGCATTAAGATGCTTGGAAGAATGTTCAGAATAATTTGTGGACCTGGTTGTTGTTTGTTACATTTTTAACGAATGCATTAGAGATAATCAGTTTTGGTTTGTTCAAATAACAGGATTGCATCATTTTATTGAGGGTTTTTTTTAAGGTTAAACCATGGATTTTCTGTTTTGAAATGACCAAAACTTGAATTTGACATCATTTGGATAAAACAGTCTGGAAGAAATATTATTTTAATGTAGGTATTATTAAAGATTAAAAAAAAATCATTACTGCTTCTTTCAAACATAATGCCAGACTAAATAAACAACCGTAGTACAGCTGACAAGTATGTAGCAAGTATAGCATAAATAGCTAACAGTTAGCTAGCATATGTTTTTTGTTTTTCCGAAGACACTAGATTTGATGAAACTATCCAAGGAATTAATAAAATACTCATCTTGTAATTTAGGTTGATTAAATAGAGCCCTGCCATTTGACCAGTTGTTTTCATGTGTAATTTTAACAGAATCGGTCTAAAAACAGCAACATTGAACAGACTGTCCTCTGTGTTGTTAGTGAGTCATCATGGCTGACACACACACATCCATCTCGTCTGTTTTGATCAGAGACAGTGCCTCTTGCAATCTTTGATAAAAGAAGAAACAATCTAGATTTCCTGAATAATTAAAGAAAATAATACAATGTTGGACTAAAAGATTTAAAGGCGTGGACGTGGCTGCTTGTAAAATCATCAATCCACCGTATGTTTATGCTTCACACGCTATTTTTTCACGTTATCGTCACATCTTCTTCTCCAGCTGCAGGTCCTGCTGCTGCTGCATCAAGACAAAGAACAAGACGGAAGAACGTAAAGAAAAGAGGAAGAGGGAAAAAACCTAAATGTTTAACCGCTTTCTTGGATCCATTGAAGAAGGCTGCTCCCTCCACCTCCTTCCTAATCACATTACCCAAGAAAACTTTTACTTATGGCTAATGGAATTCGCTTAAAATTGAACCACTGGGCTAAAAGCAGATTTGCATTGATCCAGATATGTATAGAGCCAAAGTCAGTCTATCTATTCTGTGAGGGAATTAAATGCCGCTAAGCCTATAGAGCCAGACTGTATAATCCTATGTTGGACGATCAATACTGGCTGGGACCCACATGAGCCTTTCTCATTGTGTGTGTTTTCGGTGAGTGCACCGACGTGTGTTTTCGTCCGGGGCTGTATGCTCTGACTGTAAACCCTTCAGTTTGTCAGAACTGGCACTGAGAGCTTCTGGCACTGGGGTGTGGCATCAGCTCTGGCAGTCAGACAGTTAACACTGTACAAATAAGTCTGGTTTGCCCCAGTGTTTATTTAGTCTGACACCCACCATCTGTCCTGCCCTCTGAAAGATTTAAGTCTGGGTAGGCAGCACCAAGCATTGAAGAAAATCTGCATGTGAAATTCAACATTTATCTAGTTATACAAAGCAGGCGTCACCAAATGCTTGAGTGATGGTTCTGTCCAGACCCGTGATCAATCTCTGATTAATTAACTAATAGATCATTTTCCTGGAACATTTTTTATGATGGTCGTGGCTATAGAAAGCGGAAGTTGCTGGTTAATATGACAAGAGCTTCACTCAGTCGAGCCAATCAAATTGTTTGTTTACCCTCGTGTTACTATTATTTGTGGTAAAAGAGTTAGCTATGCTATGTATAGAAATACATTTCTAAGCTAGACTGTAGTTGAGACTTTTTAATTGGAGGGAACTTTAACAATTGGACCTCAGTGGGACGTGAGAATCAGGTTGGATTTGACCACAGACCGTAGCTGTCAATCAAAAACAGACAGATTACGTTAAAGGAAACATGAGCCGAAATGTTCTTATCCCAGAAGACACCAGATCTCAAGACACCCCGTTTTTTTGTTCCATCATAAGGACCCATGAAATTTAGTCAAGGATTTAGAACCAATTCAAATGTTTATATACTGCTGTTTATATCCAGCATGGAAAAATGGTGTAGCACTACTGAGTGAAACATGTTTTATTTTAGTAGGTTTTTTTAATATTTAATGTTTCTACAAAGTCGTTCAAAATATTTAAACATAAACCTTCCGAAGGCTTCCGAAGTCGTTTTGCTACCTTAATTGCGCAAGTCCCGTAAGGTGTGCCTGCTTCGTGTGCGCTCTCAGAGAAGGACATCAGCTAAGTGGACAAACATAATCAGATCACAAGGTTTTAACTGGACGACATTGATGAGCTGGGAGAAAATAATTCTTCCTGTCAGTCCATCAATCTCATCCATATTCACTCTGCTCTCCTCAAACATCCACACGGTGCCTCTGCAATCCCCGAGAATGTGCTAAATGACCTCACACACTGACGGCGAGGCCGCACACACACTCGATAGTGACCTCATTGATGAGCCGCCTGCTGCCAATACTATAACACACACGCACTAACACTTACAATGGGGAGGTCAGGACGACCCAGTCATCATCACAGCGGCTGAAACAGACAACGACAGCAGCGGGGCAATTACAGCGGCCATCGGTGGTAAATCTGATGACTAAGAAATCCAAATATGAGATTAGTCCCCGTGACTGTCCTGATCCTAAGTGCCACTCCACACAAATGGGACCCTAAGAAGATAATAACTCCACAATTGCTTTTATAGGGAAGGAGTTATTTAATTTATAAACTGTTAGAGTGAAATGTTGCCACAACTCTCTGCACTCTGGGCAAGGCCGTTTGTAAAACTTTATATAAAAAAGGAGGGGGGTCTGAGTGAGAAGAGCAAATAGAAGGTAACCTTTAAAAACTGGGATAACAGTGGTAGTAAATTCATCTCAGTTATCTTGAAATTCTGGGGAAATGAGACCAAACTTGTCCTACTGAAGGTCTTTTTCAATAATACATAATATATTTCTGTGACTGTCTGCCAAAAAAAGGAAAAAAGTCAGTATAGTGAAATGTTACACAAGTTTCACCTCTACAGCAGCGATCACCGACATGGTGCCTGTGGTTTCCCAAAGACTGGGTGACGACCCTCAGGTGGGTCACAAGAGATTTTTTTTGGGTCATCTCGCATCATGTTTCCCAGGAGATTACAGATAATGTCTACTGACTTCGGTCGCAAATGTTTGTGACTTTTAAAATATGCATCTGCAGAAAAGAAGTTTGGGGAACACTGACCTATTGGTGGAGTATGTTCTAAAAATCAAACAAGTCAACAAGAGGGTGAAAAAAAGTTACTGTGCTTTTTCAATTAGTTACACTTACAGTGATATTCAAATGGGTGCAATGATGTTCGTAAGAAGAGTGGCTGTTGTCTGTTCCAGAACTGATTATTGTTATGTAGTTTGGGAAGTCTGTATCAAACAAGTAGCTCTTCATATTACTAAGTGAGAATGAAGTAGTAAAATGAAGTAGCTCTCAGTTTTAAAAAGGTTGGTGACCCCTGAACTACAGTATATGAAGAATTTTAAAATTGACTCACCTTCTACGCAAAAGGTCAGTGTGAAGTAATGAGAATAACCAAGACCAGAATAAATAATAATAATAAAAAGACCATGTTGTTTTTTTTATTTGGATTTGGATGGATTAGATTATTATTTATGAACAAAGCCTGTCTGGAATTTTTTTTTTTTTTTCACACAACGTTTTGAAGCTTCAAAAATTAAACCACCAATATAATTGAATTGTAAATGGCTTCATTTTAAACTAAAACATAATTTTTAAACTACAGTGGTCGGCAATGTTTGGCAAATCTACTGGTCAAAACTGCAACCCACTCCACATCAAACCCAGACATTATGGTGCTGATGGCTCTGCCTGATGACTCATTGTCTGTACCTGAACACTGTACCCTGGACAGGTCTCATTTGTTTTACATTTGCATATCAAGAACTTCTAAAGCCTCATTTACATTTAATGGAAATAAATTGTTGCACAATCACCACAATCTTTCCTGAAACCTATCATGGCTCAATGCACCACCTTTATACAGTGACAATTAACAGCCAGCTTCACAGGAACTAAAAAACAACATGATTGTTGTGATTGTTCTTTCTCTAAGCTCTCTCTACCTCCATCCTAATCCTGTTTACTAGGATTGAAGTGAAGAGGTGGTCTCTCTGTATGATGACCCCCATCTACTGGTAAAATCATCTTCTGGACCGTCTCTATCTGCACTTATCTGGGACAACTTCTATCTCCTAGAAATTACAGGTTCAGTAACTCAGTTACTAGGGCATTGGTTCATCTAAAAAAGGGAACAATGGCATTTCCAATAGAGAGTATGTGCTATCAAGAATGATGGATGGATAGATGGATGGATGGATAGATGGTTGGATGGATGGTTGGATGGATGGATGGATGGACGAACGGACAGACAGACTAGAGATTAGTAGATTATTGGGTTAGTAGAAGTAGATGGTGTTAGCAGTATTATTGACGTTAAGTTAAGAGTTTGAATGACAAAAACATAAATGTTTGTTAAATGGATTAAAAAAAGTACTTTGTTTTTAATGAGAAACTTTGGGCCTACCCCTTTTATCAGTAGTTAAACATCCATGTTCCCTTTTCTGGACTCTCCTGGACGTTCCTTTGATTTGTCCATAACAGACAAATAACAGGTAACTCTCACATCATTTCATAATAAAAATCTGAAAACTTGACTTGTCAAGTCTGACATAAACTCGATAAATCAGGTTGGATATGCTGAAGGTATGGAATGGAAAACCACACTTCAAAAGTCTTCAACATAGTTGCCTCACCTCGGGGTTCAAAGATTGCTCCTAATGTTACCGTATCATGTGTTTGCTGTCACACCAGAATGACATTAGAATCGATTATCATGGGCCTGAAATCTCCCCAGGGAGCTCATGAAAAAAGGCTGCAAAGTTATTGATTTATCATAATCTTTCCAAGCGACATCTTTGTAAATAATCATCGTCCAGACTCTGTGGAATCCCAGAGTGTGGGAAAGCCAATTAAAAGGTGAATTCAAATGCCAACCACGAAGACCGTGCTCACCTGAATCATCTGCTTCTCACCTAGATGTTGCTAATGTTTTATTCTTCTTGTTGTCACTCCTCGCCCCCTTTTATGCAGCTGTATTTTACACTATATACTTTAATGATTCTGCAATCTCTTTACCCTTTAAAAAAAGTTTAAATATCCCTGCCAGAAAAGAGCTCAATAGCAAAACATGGCTTTTTCCTGAGTAATTCTGTGACACAATACCTGGATGTTGCAGTGTTTTCACAGTAAATAAGGCTGTAAATCCACACAGAAGGATACAACTTAGCTTAGCTTAGCAACATCCTAAATAAAACCACTTCAACCTCCAGGATAATGCAGAACACACATAAACTGAGAGATTCCTGCAAACTTTAATATAAGGTCATTAAAATGCAAAGCAAAGTTTCCATCTAACTTATAATCAACTTGGTGAACTATTGACCTTGGTCCAGCAGTTAGAGGTAAAGTTTACCACTTCCACCATTGTCTTCCCAGTACTGCAAAAAACTACTGTTCCAGTTACATAGCCTTAAATCAACTGCTTTCAATCGTAGTCATGTTGAGTGATTCCATGATTCAACACCAACACTGGTCACAACTCTTCACATATATCTTTTCGACTACAGTTAACCTGTCCAGATTACTGCTCATACTGAAGAACCTTCTTCCTCCCTTTGCGTGGGCACTAATTTGTGCGATCAGTCAACGAAGGCTCTTCAGCGGCCAGGTGATAAATGAGGGTTTGGTAAGTGCAGAGCTGAGAAGATCTCAGGACGCACAGATAACTTTGTTGGGTCATCGGTGGAGAACTGCAGTTTTTTTTCTTCATTATTTTACAGAAGGAGAGGACTAGTTTGATGTAATGCTCAGTCATTCACCGTTTATTTGTATCTGTTTCTGACTCTACCTAAAGTAAAGCACTGGTGCTGGGAAGTTTCACACAGATGGAGGTTTTTCTGTTGTCTCTTTTAGACACACACACACACACACACACAGACACACACGTATGATCCCTGCCAATGTAAAACGATCTAGCTGCTTCTTGTATTTAATCCATGTCACCTCACATCTCACAAATAATTCTAAATCAAAGTTATTGTCTAAAATTACATTTCCCACTATCAACAATGAGACACGGCTTTAGAATGAAACATCAAAGAGATCTCGGTGATGTCACACGGAACTTTAAAGGTTTTCCTTCCCAATGACATCACTGGATGTCGTACCCTCAACTTGATATCGTAGCTTGGTACCACAACAATATGGATTCAGAATGCTGTGAAGCAGCATCACCCAACAAACTGAAGGCTTGTTGCAGCTTCAATGGACAAAAGGGTGAGTTGGTTTGACTCAGTCACAATCTTAGACTTTATAGAAAAACATTAGTCCAACTGTGCGGCGTTGGCATTGCAGCCTCAATCCCAGAACACAGTTTCTGACTTGTTACTTTGGTCTTATAGGATGTCCCTTCCCAGAGTTGACTCCAGCATCTCAGAAATGAAAAGCAGATGGGCATATCACCATGTTCCAGCTCAGTCGAACAAGACGTACCAAAGTCACAGAAGATTGTCCTCGATCGCCTCACCTCGCCGACCACGGACTACCTTCTGGAGTGCATCGTGGGTGAGGGAACGTATGGACAAGTGGTCAAGTGTGTGAAGACGGCCACTAAAGAAATGGTCGCTGTGAAGATATTTAAGAGCACAGAGTTTACATCGGCCGCACAGAACGAGGTGGACACCCTTCGACGGCTGATGTCTTTTGATTCAGACAGGTTCAACTTTGTAGGCTGTGACAATATTTTTATTGACAGACAGCATCTGTGCATTGAGTTCGAAATACTGGACCAGAGTCTCAGTGATTTCCTGGACAAAAGACCTTCCTACTCGCTCTCTGTGAAAGAAATACGACCGATTCTGTATCAGGTAAGGTACCAGACCATGTTGATTTAAATGGACAATATCAAATTTTGTGTCAAAGTTTGCTATTTCTATCATATACAGTAGAAAAACGTAACACAATAATCAAAACAGTTTTGGTTGATGACTGAATCAATGGCTAGAGATATCTTAATTTAAAAAAAAGTTTGTCTTCTGTATATTACATTCACTGATTGGTTCAATGACACACAATTATCTGGTGTATTGTGGGCTGGCTACTAGGTCTGCCGTAGCTAACTCTCTACAAGCTGTTCTAAGTAGTTCTTTCCTACAAGTCAAGCAGTGTTCTTTCCTATTCACTGATGTCCCTCAGTGCTTCCTTAGTACCTTCAAATAAAAAAAAATAGCATTACTGCCACAAAGATGCATCAGTCTTAACGGTGTACTAGAAATTAGTGTAGTCAGTGTTGATTAAAGTAAGTCTGAAAAAAGGAAATGTGTTATAGAGAAAACATGTCTGATATTAGTGACGCATTAAAGACATTAAAGATGCATTAAAAATTTCTTTCCACAAGATGGCAACTACATTGCAACTCCTGAGGAGCCTGGATCTGGTTCATATGGATCTAAAGCCCGACAACATCATGATGGTCGACGCCAAAAAACAGCCATTCAGGATCAAGCTGATTGATTTCGGCTTCGCTCAACACATCTCAAATATAAGGAGTGGCCTATCTGTACCACTGTGCAATTACAGGTGAGTAATATTAAGTAGCAATGCCAACATACCAATATTGGTAAAAAAAGGACCATTTTAGTTATTGTTGTTCCTGTATAAAAGGTCTCCAGAGGTGATCTTAGGACTTCCTCTGACACCAGCTATTGACATGTGGTCTCTGGGCTGTGTTGCTGCAGAGCTTTTTCTGGGACATGCCCTTGATCCACAAAGATATGAAAACCACCTGGTGGATATCTAATAATAATAACAATAATATTATAGTCATTGGCAACTTTTATAACCACTAAAACAGAAATTCTCTTTAGGGCCTCTATGACTACGGACACAGTGAACACCTGGACATCCTGAATAAAGTGAGTTTTTTTTTGTCAAACTGTTGATATTTGTAGCCGAGGGACTTTTATGAAGTTTACTAATGTATCTTCCAAAGCAGGTCAAACCAGTCTTCCATTTATCAGCCGAGGACACCATTGCAGAAATTAAAGACCAGGAGAACTTTGTGCATTTAATAAAAATGATGCTGAATTTGGACTGGAGTAAACGGATAACACCAAGCCAGGTGCTGCAGCATCCCTTCATCACAATGAGCAGTCTGGCAGGGTGCTATCCAAACAGCTTCTAGTAAGTACAGGTTAAAAAATATTCTCTCAGGTGACACAGTTGGACTTCTTGAAACCAATTTTTTTCTCTCCTCCAGTCTCAAAGTCTGCTTCGAACTGATGGAAATCTGTCGGGATCAGAGTCAGAGTGGTGATAACAGGGATGTGAAAGATCAGACAGTGCAGTCACAGCTGACAGACCTGGATGTTCCAGCCATTCCTGAGCTGAACTTGTGCGTCGATCCGGCTTGGCCTAAACACAGAGAACATCCTCTGGTGCTAAATACTTTACTGGACATGTCCAAGCTGTCCATTTGTGAGAATCAGAGCCCCCCACTACGGCGCAGGGGGAAAACATGGAGGGAAAACACGGGATATGAGCGCAAAAGGAAAAGGGAGTGTTGTGAAGCACTGCATGGTGAAGACAGGTAAAGATAACAGCCACGTTAGCTAGTTCAGTGATGCGACCTACTGCAGAGACTGTGGCCTACATACCAAAATGTCAGCGATAAACTTCAAACAAATTGGCCCTACTGACCCAACACCGGGGTTATCTAGTAACCATCTAGTAAACACGATTCTCTATTTGTTGCTAATTTTGGTCCGGGGAACGAAATTTGGTGTAGTGTACAGTTATGGTGTAGGTCATTGTTTCCCAAAGTTTGGGTCGGACCCTCTAGTGGGTCACAAGAGTTTTTTTTTTGGGTTGTTTCGCATCATGATTCCCAGGAGTTTACGAATAATGTCTATTGACTTGGGTTGTGAAGAAAAACAATTTGGGAAACACTGGTGTAGGTCACAGGTTAGTGTAGGTTAAAGTGTCCTAAAACCTTCTTCTTGTTACAGAACTAATACAACATGACATTAACATTCTGTTAAATGTGGAAAAAGACTCAGGTAGTATTTGATGTATTTTAGATGCCAAGCAAGTTTCCTAATTGGCGTTAAAAGAAAGAAGATGGACCTCAATTTTGTTAGAACAAAAGAAGGTATGTTATTTTTTTTACTCTCAACCAAGACACGAGTTGGTCAAAAATGGTTCAGAGGGTAGTGGATATCGACCACAAAGGCAAACTTAATTTATTACTCTTGTCAGGCAGTGTAGCCTCAGTGATGTTATTATTTTTTAAAGGTTTGTATCACATCTCAGAGAAATTCACTGCAGAAGAATCCAAAGCTAAACTGCAAAGGAAACGCACCAGAGAAGAAACTGGCTCTGAAGGAATGTTAAAAAAAAACAAAGTCAAAGATGCGGCCACACAAACAGAAGCCGTTGCTAACCCAGAGCAGACTTCATCCATGATTGATGGAGCTGATCTTCAGAGAAGAACTTACAGGAGCCGTGAGGGCGTTTCAACACCTAGCAAAAAAAGACGAAAGAACCATCGGGGTGTTAGCTTCCCTCAATGTCTACGAAATGGCGTGTTACAGGTTCCTGACGTTTTAGGTGTTGCATTCAGGGCAGTCACGGGCATCATTCACACATGGCCTCAAAACGCTCTGGACTGGTTTAAGAAGGTTTTTCAGCAGTCTACTTCAACCAGGGAAGGTTTGATTTCTCCACCTCAATTAGATCAGACGACAAGTTGATACAATTTAGGATCATGTTAGCATTCCATGACATATGTTTGAATTTTTGTAAATAATCTCAATTAATGACAATTACCTGATGCCATTTTATACCACCATAATAACTATGGAATCATATTTTTCATATTTTCATTGTACCTACGTGAAGAATTCTAAAACGCACAAGGCGATGCAAGGCATTCCAAAATTATCATTCTTTGGACAAGACACTAAATCTAAGTGCAGAATCAATACATTTTTTGCTAAATAATGTTTTAAATCAACATGTGTTAAACATTAGTAAATTCATAGTGGGTGATTTTGGTGTCTTTTGTTTGAACTGATCTTCCACCAGTTATTCTGCAGTCACCCTTCAACTCCATATTGGCAGTTTGTATGGTACTAAAGATGAAATCTGTTTACAAATCAATTTTCAATGTTTCTACATTAACAATGACTGTCATTATCATTTGTCATTAAAAGCCCAACAGTCTGTATAGACAGTCTCATTTGGTCTATGTACTGTATTATTGTCTGAAAAAACACAATTGTCGTATCTATGTTATGTACAGCGTAACGTCTTTAAAATATCCATCTTGTATTTATTGTTGTAAGATATCGTGATGTAAAATAAATTGCGGTGTCAGTTGAGGATCAGTGCCTGCTGATTTACAAATTGTGTTGTAAGTCTGCGAGAAGTTGTAGCAGCGTTTAAGATGGAGTTTAATATTTTTTACTTTGAGTGTTTGTAAGAAGTCAATAAAATCCGTTATTGTCTGGATCTCCTTTATCTGTGTTAGTTTTTCTAGTCAATTTCAATTTTAGAGCCAACTAGTTACAGTTAAAGGAAGGTGAGTTTTATTTTTATTAATGATACATGTCCAAACCAATGGGAGACTTGAACACGTCAACAGACGACTAACATTTACAGGTGCTCTGAAGTTGTAAATATTTGGATATTTTCAAAATTATAAAATTTTATGTTGATTTTTTTTTTTTTTTTGTATCTTACATGACACACCCAATCTCTTGTGGCAGCTCTTATACTACAAGACCTTGTTGCAGTTTACAAATTTGTAAAAACCTGCTACGCTAGTTCTACTGTAAACAGTAGAGAGAGAGAGAGAGAGAGAGAGAGAGAGCGAGATATTATAAAAAAAAAAGGCCATTGGCTAACATAACTGCCCAGAACAGGACGTACCTGCTGTCTCCTCCAGTTTACCTCCACACCACAGAGGGCTTAAGGGCAACGAGCACACTAAGTATCTGGCTAATTAGCTAATAACCTGCTAATCAAATTGGCAGTCGGGGACCTTTCAGAGGCCAGCGACTGTCATCGGAGCGTCAGACAGCCATTCAATATTCAAGCACAGGGATCAGCATTCACCCTTTATCCTCCCACAGGCTCTGAGGCTAACAGTCGTACTGTCCAAATATGAAACGACCCTTTGAACATTAGCATTTAGCAACACCCCCGCCCCCCCCCCCCACACACACACACACAACTATACACAAGCTTTAAAAAAGCCAAGCTCTCCTCGCCTCCACAATTAGGCCTCTAATTTGGCTAATGGAGCATTAATGGAGAAAGAGGCTGCTGAAGACCCAAGCTCAGCACAGTGTCCTCCAAAACACACACACACACGCACACACGCACACGCACGCACACACACTCATTAGAAGATGTGGACGACATGAGAACTGCTGCAGCAATGTTGAGAGGAGGATGACCATTGGCGCCACCACCCTGCTTCTTATCACACACACACACATACACACACACACACACCAGTAATCATGTACTATGTATGTACACAACCCCACGTGATACTCTAAACATGTACGAGCTGTCTCCCTTTTACTATCTCTTTGTTATTGAAAAAAAAATGTACCGATTAAAATGTGGAAATCTGTGACGCCAGCCTTTTGATAACGTCCCACAAATCTCTCACTCCTGCAAAACAAAGTGCCGTCATGAGGTCATCACCCCAGAACACACATTTCAGCAGCATCAGTGAATATTGGCCCAGTTCTGTGATAACAGCCCACTGCCTTGTTGGGCTGTGTTGGACTTCTTCCCGAGCCATGACGGCGCTGGCGACAGCCATATCTGACGCTCTGACCCTTTTCAAGTCTGCCGCTACCCACTTCAATCTCCCTTTCTGTAGCTCACACACACATCCTCCCCAAATGTGTAGATAGTGTCACTGCTCCAGTCTCCAACCCTTCGATAAGGGGACCCCCTTTAAAAAAAAGAGGAGGGAGCAGGGGTAAAAAAAATTGGTCTGGAGAGAGAGTCTGACACAGGCTGTGTGTGTGTGTGTGTGTGTGTGTGTGTGAGAGAGAGAGAGAGAGGGCAGTCGTCCTAATCTCTAACTCGGCTCCATAAACACTTTTGTGGCCTAGCGGAGCCTGAGCAGCTCTGAAGCTCCAAGTCTGACGCAACATGTTACAATAGCATCACCGCTGCTGCTGCTGCTGCTGCTCAACAGCAAGTACTGATTGCTGGGGCCTTATCTGATGATGTCATCAAAAGCTGTTTGTAGTCACTAAGGAACAGAAATAACTAATTTCACACGGTTTATATCGAGGTCCTGCTCCGGTAATGACGCAGCGAGTGCCTGATCTCTGTAGATCAGGTGAGGGTCCGAAACAATGAGGCAAAAACAATATTTTAGCAAAGGAACACATTCTGTACATGCGATTTCAAGCACGATGATTGACCCTCTGTTCCCGTCACTCGCATTCTGATTGTCTCCTCAGACAAAAACACACCGTATGATTGGCCTTTGAGATGTGTAATGTTAGGCTATGGTTAGCAGGAGAAGATAAGAGGCTACAGCCAGACCAAATAAAGAGCAGCAGTGTGTTAGCATTCCTCAAGTTGTTCGATCCCCCCACTGTACCACACACAGAGACATTCCTCCGATGTCTCCGAAAAATCACAGATACGCAGGAATTAGTGGCATTCGTTTCAAAACAGGAATTAAAAAAATGTAACTACTAGGAATAAGAAGTTACAGGATCAGAGGTTTGAAAAGGGTTCCAGATGCAGTAGGTCATTTGACCACGGAGGGTCACAAGAATGGAATCACAAAAATATGCACAAAAAGTAACAAGAGAGAGAATTTTAAACACAGATAACAGACTCAATAACACACAAGTCTGAGGAGCTGCAGAGTCCATACAGTAATGTTCCTATTTAGGCAGAAGTTCAGTTCAGATTGAACACGACTCCAGTCATTTTGATTATAAATCTTTTTATCATAGACAATTTACTAGACAGAAACTAAATTGTTGCCTGTCGTAATTTAGACCAACACTGACTCATTTCTACAGGATGTGAATCATTGGTGTTTTCCTGTGATCTTTCAAAGTCTTATCGACTTTTTTGTCTTCAAACCAGATGGATCGTGATAAGCCATCAAGTTGGGGACAAAAGCTCGGACCTTCCATCGTCAACAGACGGCAGTGAGCGGACCCAAACCTACAACTTTCTCTTCCGAAACAAAACTCCAGGCGTCAAAGACAACATCCGGTGGCGGTTTGAGACACACTGAGCATCAGTGGCTACAGATCCTCTCACACTTTCACTCATTCAACGCCATGGGAAGTAGGATACCGTTCGTTACGGCTCTTGTTTTGCTTGTGTCAGCTTTTACGAGCAAACAAGGAGACTTTGGCTTCCTGTTCCTGGTGGCTGAGACCACCCAGTCTCTATGATTTGACTTGGAACATTTATGATGAAGTCTTAAGGGAGAAACCTCTATATTATATTACATATGTTTCCAAATATTGCACGGAAATTTAAGCCTTTTGGTTGAGAAAACAATGCATTCTTGCACAAACAAAATGTCCTTTTTTTTTTCATTTTGGCCAACAATTTTCAAAAGTCATCAAAATCCAAACTTGAAACAAAACATAAACCTGACAAAAGAGGTCAAACAGACCAACGAACAAAGAAATTGTTAACGTGTACTGTTTTTATGTTTACTCTCACGATGCTATTCTTAGACGTTCTAATTACCCAGACAATGATGCCTGTGTACACACGGGTAACTGACAACTGACAAACTTTAACTGAAGCGGCTCCACTCTCATACCACCTTTGATCCTTCAGGTTTTTACCTCCGGGTTCTCACCTTCTTTTTCTGTAAGCAGCCGCACGTTGCCGAGGTGTTAACAGATGAGCCTGAAGACGGCTGCTGGTATTAGAAGTTTCCTCGCTTCAAAGAACGTCAACATGACTGATGTTACCCGTTTCACGAATTACCATCTGTCCCGTTTTAGTTTTTAACTGCCTTGTATTTAAGCGCTAAGGTGGACGGTGCAACAACAGTACATGCGTTGATGAGAGTGGAACCAGAGCCCCGCAGGGGGAATCTGCTGCCTGAGAGCCTCAAAGCCACACAAGAGGAGCTAAGCCCTTCTGAAGAGAGGCTGTCATCTTCTCCAGGCTGCACCTGTGGAGACTGGTTCCAACTCTCCACAGGCCTGGTCGCACAGAGAGAGAGGAGATTTGGGAGGATTTGGGGTGAGAATAAGAGCCCACTTTGCACCTTGACACGGGAATGCCTTGAATGAGCTGATAGCCTTGGGCAGAAGAACTGAGATGATAGCAGCAGTTCGGTCTTTGATTCATTCTCTTGATGACATTACCGACTGAATCTTCATTTGTAGGAACGTTTGTAAAATGTCTGTGTTGACACCTGTGAAACACCCGTCCTTTATGCAGAACAGTGTGTGGTTTCATACCGATGAGACAATGAGATATAAACTGTCACGACGGCAAAGGTTTTCCTGATGATAACGACTCATTACTGGGACAGCCGCTTTATCGTTTGTCGTAATAAGAGGTGGTTTAAGGTATTTTTACCGACTCCACTTTCCACATAGCTTTTCCCTCTCTGTGTTTTCACGTTGCTCACGCAAATACCCTGCGGACATTTGACTACAGAACTGGCTGAGTACGTTCCAGAAAATGTCTGGATTGACTTTGGTAGACATTTGCATTGTCTGCCTGGACTGCAGCGCAGGTCTGTGAACAGCAACAATAAAAGTTCTCAGATTCATACAAGTAACTTTCTGTCAGGTACAGCACCTTCATTAGCAGGTAGACAGGTAACAGGTCTGGATTTCAACGAGAATTCACCAAAGGTTTTGTCAAAAAAAAAAAAAAATTGTAGGTTAAGTGCATTTAGACCTGCAATTACAAGACAAGTCAGTTTTAAATCCAGGTATGATGTAACAGCCTGAATAAGTAAAGGTAGATTATTCTTGTCAGAGGGAGATTTCAACATGTGGACCTGTTTTTCCATTTCTTCCTTGACATCAGATCAGTGGTGTACTGTACTGTGCGTTTCTCACCTAGGTCTTTAGTGTCCTGCCTGAAGAAATCCACATCTTAACGTGTCATCATGTCTTTAGAAAACAGCGATATTATGCAGAAATATAGTAAAACGTTACAGCCCAGATAACTCATGTAGCCATAATAACGTCATTACTATAGCAACAAACCCATGGAGCACAGTTCAGCCACAGCAGTGACACGGTGTACATGTCAATAACGTACACAAAAGCCATCCTCTTTCCTCACGAGGAGTTCAACTGCTCTGTTCTATAGTTTGTCCATAATTGCAGATTACAGTTTACAGATTACAGATCTGCATCCAGTCGGTGCAAGTCACCAGATGCAGTTTGGTAGAGTTGAGACACACGTTCTCTGATCATCCAATCAAATCGCCTACACAACCGTGGGCCAGCTAGAAGGCCTTGTTGTGA